TTTATATTGATTTCATAGAGGAAGGGAGAGGGATAGAGACATAGCAACATCAATGATGAGAATAATTGATTGGCTGCCTCCTGCCTGCCCCACATCGGGGATCGAGCCTGCAACTTGGGCTTGTGACCTGACCAGGAATCAAACCATGACCTCCTGGTTCATAGGGCAATGCTCAACCACTGAGCCATGCCGGCCGGGCAGAATTTTTAAATTATCCCTTTTAATACCCCATGTGTCAAAGATGAAACATAATGAAAATCAGAAAATGTTCTAAATGACAAAAATACCTCATTTTAAAACATATGATCTTTACTACTTTAAAACATATATTATGGAAAAATTATAGCCATTAATGCATAAATTAAAAAAATAAATGCTGAAAATTAATATCAGACAAAATAAACCAAAGAAAGTAGAAAGAAGAAAAATAAAATTTTACAACCATGAGAATAACTACAGTTACTTACAATAATATGAATAATAATTTACTAATGTTAGTAAAAAAGAATACATTTAGCATTTGTGTTTAGTAATGGTTTACATGATAAATAATAATGAAATTTACCATCTTAACCATTTTAAGTGTATAGTTCAATACATTTTTAAGTATATCGTGAAACAAAAACTTTTTCATCTTGTAAATCTTAACATCTATGCCCATTAAATCTATACCTCTGTCTCCTTCTTTCCAGTCCTTGATAACTACCATTACACTTTCTATTTCTATGAATTTGCCTACCTTAGACACCTCATAAACATGGAGGTATCATACAGTATTTGTCTTTTTTGTGATTGGTTTATTTCATCTAACAATGTCCTCAGGGTTCATGCATGTTCTGGTATGTGTCCAAATTTCCTTCTTTTTTTGTTTGTTTTTGTTAATTCTCACCCAAGGATATTTTTTCCATTGATTTTTAGAGAGAGTGGAAGGGAAAGGAGAGAGAGAGAGAGAGAAACATCAATGTGAGAGAGACACATTGATTGTTTGCTTCCTGCACATGCCCCAACTGGGCCAGGGATTAAGCCTATAACACAGGTATGTGCCCTTGACCAGATTGAACCTGCAACCGTTCAGTCTGTGGGCTGATGCTCTTAACCACTGAGAAAAATTGGCTAGGGCCATATTTCCTTCTTCCTTAAAGCTGAATAATATTCCACTGTATGTACACATTACATTTTGTGTATCCACTCATTTATCAATGGACACTCGGGTTGCTTCCATTTCTAACCATCTATACCAGTGGTCGGCAAACTGCGGCTCGCAAACCACATGCATCTCTTTGACCCCTTGAGTGTGGCTCTTCCTAAGCCTTAGGAGTACCCTAATTAAGTTAATAACAATGTACTTACCTATATAGTTAAAGTTTTAAAAATTTGGCTCTCAAAAGAAATTTCAATCGTTGTACTGTTGATATATGGCTCTGTTGACTAATGAGTTTGCAGACCACTGATCTATACTAATAAAAGGGTAATATGCTAATTAGACCAGAAGACCTTCGGGGAGACTGGACATCCTTCCGGACAAAGCCATGGTGGAGGGGCCGAGGCAGAGGCAGTTAGGAGCAAGCAGGCTGGAAGGGGGTGCAGTTGGGGGTGAGCACGCTGGCAGGGGGACAGTTGGGGGTGAGCAGGCTGGCAGGGGGGACAGTTAGGGGCGATCCGGCCAGCAGGGGGGCAGTTGGGGGTGAGCAGGGCAGCAGGGTGGGGGGGAGTTAAGGGTGATCAGACCGGAAAGGAGGGTAGTTGGGGGCGATCAGGCTGGCAGGCACAGTGTTTAGGGGTGAACAGGCAGGCAGGTAGGTGAGCAGTTAGGAGCCAGCAGTTGCAGATTGTGAGAAGGATGTCCGACTGCCGGTTTAGGCCCGATCCCAACCGGCAGTCAGACATCTCCTGATTGGAGAGGGTGCAAGCTGGGCTGAGGAACACCCCCTCCCCCCCACCCCCATGTACAAATTTCTTGCACCAGACCACTAGTTGTGAATAATGCTGCTATGAACATGATACCCTTTTCAATAAAAGTTCAAAGGACATTCAGAACTAAACAAACTTTTTTTAAAGGTATCTTTATTGTTGAAAGTATTACAGATGCCCCCCCATTTTTCCCCCCACTAACCTCCTCCACCCTGCTCCTGCTCCCGTCACCCCCATTGCCGGCCTTCTCCACACTATTGTCTATGACCCTGGGCAAGGTATTCATGCCTATAAGTTCTCTGGTTAATCTCTTCCCCCCCTACCCACCTTTCTCTCTGAGATTCATCAGTCTGTCCCATGCTTCCATGCCCCTGGATCTATTTTTCCCCTCAGTTTATTTTGTTCATTAGATTCCACATATAAGTTAGATCATGTGATACTTGTCTTTTTCTTACTAAACAACTTTTTAAAGTCATGTCAGACAAAATATTCTGAGATATCAAGAGAAATAAATAGATATAAATATAAATACAAATTCAAGGTAGTTGGTAATTTTAGGCAGGGTTTTTGAAGGCCAGGCAATTAAATGGGTAGAAGTGATGATTAGAGTTATTTATTTGGCCAGGTACTCATGATTCTTCATCATATTATGATTAAAATGGAAAAAAATAAAAAAAGATTATGAATGAACCAATGATGATAGTGTATCATACACCAAAGATTTTTATTTTTTCAATTTATTTGTTTACCTGAGACTCATTAGAAAAACAATTGTGGGTGACTCTACTCTTTGTTGTGTTTCTATTTGCGTGTGCTCAAGCAGCTGGCAAGTAATTTGTTCAGCTTAGTTTTTAATATATAAAATTCAGAGTAAATTGTTTTCTATTGTCTTTTAAATGGCTTTATTCAGTGTAATTGTTATACAATAAGTTGCACATGTATAAAGTAAACATTTTGATCAGTTTTGACATATTTATACATCTTGAAACCAACACACAATCAAGATAACAAACATAGCCCAGCTGGTGTGGCTCAGTGGTTGAGTGTCAACCTATGAACCAGGAGGTTATGGTTCAATTCCCAGTTAGGGCACATGCCCAGGTTTCAGGCTTGATCCCCAGTAGGGGGTGTGCAGGAGGCAGCCAATCAATGATTCTCTCTCATCATTGATGTTTCTCTCTCTCTCTCCCTTCCTCTCTGAAATCAATAAAAAAATATATTTTTTAAAAAGGTATTTTGTACTTTAATTTGCATTTTTTAATAATGAATAAGGATGAATATATTTTTATGTGTTTATTTGCCATCTATATGTCTTCTTTGGTGATGTATCTACTGGGATCTTTTGAGGTTTTTTTGATTTTCATATTTTAAAAAATTATTATTGAGTTTTGATAGTTCTTTATATATTCTAGGTACAAGTCCTTTATCAGATATATGATTTGCAAGTATTTTCTCCTACTCTATAGCATGTCTTTTTATGCTCTTAATAGTTTATTTTAAAAAGCAGTTTTTGATTTTGAAGAAGTCCAATTTGTCAACTTTTACTTGTGTGGATTATACTTTTGGTATCATGTTTTTCTTGACCAGATGAAGACATTTGTTGAGTGGTTGCAAAATGCAGAAGAAGAATCTGAATCAGAAGGTGAGGACAATTAGATGGCGGAGAAGCACAATGCCTAGGTCATCACACAACACTTGGATTGGGAATGCTGAACCATTCGAGAAGAGAAACTTGGCTTGTTTTCACAAAGGAAAAAAAAAGAATAGGATAGGTTTCCTTTGTGCAGAGGGGGCAAATGGTTTTTGTTTTTGTTTTGTTTTTAAATGGAGCCCTGAGCCATTAGCTATTATACTTGGGACTCTACCTCTCACTCACTATATGCTAACTTAAAGCCATTCAACCAGGAGTCCATTAGGAATCTGAATTACTCAACAGACTCCTCTTTTTTAGTTGTATTTTTCAGGTACTGTGTGGTGAACGCCCCACTGGTGTCTATTACAGGGCCACTTTGGTAGTTGTGTATCTGCTTGTGTATGTGATTTGACAAATAAATGGCTCTTAAATAAATGGTTTTATAAAAAATATATATATATATTTTTAAAAATGCCTTTTTTAAAAAAGGTATTTTTGTCCTCACCTAAGGCCACATACATTTTCTCTTATGCTTCTTTCCTAAAAGATTTGTAATTTTAGGCTTTACATTTAGATCTCTGATCCATTTTTGAATTAATTTAGGTACATTGTGCGAGGTATGGGACAAAGTTGTTATTTTTGTTTGTTTTTGCCTGTGGATATCCAGTAATTCTAGCACCATTGTTGAAAAGACCATCCTTTACTACAAAGATTATTTTCATATTATTTCATCTAGACTTAGTTTGAAATTATATATTCTGGAATGATATATTGCTTAGTGTTACGTGCACATGTGCTAAAGGGTAAAGAAAAGTAAGGGAAGGCCAGAATCCAGAATTCAGCATAGTAAGAAGGGGTAAGACATGGGAGGTACCCACAGAGGATCGGTAATATTTCCATCTTGTTAGATGGATGCTGGATACAATATGTGGTCAGAAGAATTCTAAGAAGACCCTAATGATCTCTGTCCTTTTGTGTTACTTTGTGATTATATCACGTAATGTCTCTCAGTTGATTCTGAGTTCATCAAAGGGAAGCTTTGTCTGGGTGGGCCTAATCTGATCACATGAGCTCTCTAAAAACAGAGAGTTTTTTCCAGGGTTGCAAATTAGGAAGTCAGAGATAGATTCAAAGCATTAGAAGAATTTGATTGACATGTCATTGCTGGCTTGAAGATAGAGGGGCTCACATGTCAAGGGAAGGAGGACTTAAATCCTATCACTCCAAGGAACTAAATTCTGCCAACAAAAATGAGCCTCCAATGAAAATTCAACCTGGCCGATACCTTGATTCCAGCCTTGTGATAACCTCAGCAGAGAACTCTGTCCCACCGTACTGGACTTCTGACATACTAGTACAGAACTGTGAGCCTATAAATGGTTGTTGTTTTAAGCGGCTAATTTTGTAGTAATGTGCTACAGAGCAATAGGAAACTAATGTACATAGGCATTTATTTATTTATGTTTTACATTTCGCAAATTTGCATCTTATTCTTGCAGAGGGGCTATACTCAGCTTCTCTGTATTGTTCCAATTTGAGTATATGTGCTGTGAAGCGAGCACCATGGGTATTTAAATTATTGTAGTTGTGCCTTTTACATATGTTATAAATATTCTTTAGTGTTTAATAAACATTTTTTGCTTTGTAAAATATTTTAAAATTTTTATTTTATGGAGGTATAATTAATATATAACATTGTGTAAGTTTAAGATGTACAGTATGTTGATTTGATACATTTATTTTTTAAAGAGGAAGCCAGCAATTTTCTTGACTTCAATGGGCCTTCTGAACAAAGCAGATATAAAGAGTGGTGTTGGTGGTAGTGGTGGTGATGTGTGAAAAGAATGTAAAGATTTGACCTATTATTATAATATGTCTTCAAGATAAATCATTGATTATGGGCCATGCCCAAGACCTTTTTAAAATAAGTGTTTTATTAGATTGCATAAAGTTACCAAGCAAAGATTACATCATTGGGCCAAGAATGCAGACTACTATTTATGGAAGCCTGGATTGGGAAAATAATTCAGTCCTGTTTATTCTGTGTAATGATGTTATTGTTACACCAAACATAAGGGTTGTAAAGTGATTGTGTATGTTAGTTTAAATGTGTAAATATTTCTATTATGGCATCCTTATGTACACTGACCACGAATATTTTATTTTATGGTGTGCTTGAAATAAATCCATTATAAGCAAAGAAGGCATTTGAACATGATGTGAAACTGGTATGGCTGCTAGTATCCTGAACAATTCAAATATGGAATTGCTACTGATAATACAAGTGATACAGGAGCACAAACCTAGAGCCTTCTGAAGGCAATTCCATTGATTCCAAACAAACATTTTAACATATTTTAACAGATGTGAGATGAATGGCACCAAATAAATGAAACTTAAGGTGAATAGCCAGCCACAACATGGCATTTGGATACTGATGTTTTTAAAGTTTGAGACAGCATTATAACTTAGATACATGCCTATATTAACCTCTTCCCTCCCCTGGTCACATTCTCTCATTTCACCCTGTGATGAGATTACCAGGCTTATTTTTTTCTGTAGCTAACAATCATAAAACATTTGTGTTTTTTATCTCTTGTGGTTTTTAATTTTATGTGTCAACCTGACTGGGCCATGAGGTGCTTACATATTTGGTCAAACATTATTCTGATGTTTCTGTTAAATTGTTTTTGGATGAGATTAACATTTCAATTGGTAGACTTGAGTAAAGATTGCTTTCCATAATGTGGTGGGCCTCATCCAATCAGTTGCGGGCCTGAAGAGAACAAAAGGCTGACTGTTCCCCAAGTGAGGGAAAATCCCCTGCCTGGTGGCCTTCAACGTGGGACATTGGTTCTTCCTAGCTATACAGCGGCCTGTTGTCTTTGGACTGAAACTGGAGCATCAGCTCAGCAGATTTTAGATTTGTCAGCCTCCAAAGCTGTCTGAGCCAATTCCCTATCTACCTACCTACCTGTTCTGTGGATTCTGATTCTCTGGAGAATTCCAACTACTCTATCTCTCAAGTAGTTGACTAATTCCCCAACGTAATGAAAGTCCCATGAAGTCAAGGACTTTGTCTTGCTTGTTATTATATTTCCAATGTCCAGATTGGCCCTTAATAATTGTGCAAACAGTTGTTTGCTGAATGAACTTATCTTGCTAGGGGAAGCAGTGATGCATTTAGATGTTTTGGGGATGGCGCTGAACAGGACAAATATGTCAGCTTGAGAAAACAGCATCAACTTGGGTGGCTATTCATGAGTTTTAAATACTGTTTATAGATATTTTAAAATTATATGTGTTAATAGAAAAATTTGAGGCTCTTATACAGAAGGTTTGGCTAGTGCTGAAGTCTTCAATTTTGTGTTTGTTGCCCTAGAGATTCTCAGACTTAACCATATCATTCAGCTGAAAGCAACCTATAAAGAAATCAGTGTCAAATATGATTATACATTTTGGTTGCCTCTACTAGGAAGAAATGGAAGGGATAGAAATCCAAGTGTAGAATGAATGAGAATGTTTTAGTGCACAGTGTTACCATGATGAAGTAGGTAGGTCCTCCATTGTAAGCAGCCTTACAAAGTACAAAGGAGAAATATATTTTGTATAACTGATGTATTTTATGGTCTGAACAGTCATTACTTTTCTCTCACTACTGCCTTTATTTTTTTATTTACTTTTTATATGTTTTTATTGATTTTAGAGGAAGGGAGATGGAGAGAGAGATAGAAACATCAACGATGAGAGAGAATCATTGATTGGCTGCCTCCTTCACATCCCCTACTGGGGATTGAGCCTACAAGCCAAGCATGTGCCCTGACAGGGAATCAAACCGTGACCTCCTGGTTCATGGGTCGATGCTCAACCACTGAGCCACACTGGCTGGGCATCTCACCACTGCCTTTGAACAAGCTCTTTCTGATCTCTCTTCTGTGCTCATTGATGGCAATTCTGGGAGTTTTCATCACCTTCAGTCCACTTTTGGCTTTGAGAACTATTACATTTTCAGGTATTAAAAGTTCAGTGAAGTATAACACAAAACTTCAACCTCATCTCCAATGCCCAGCTTCTCTCCTTCCTCTTTGCCCCTTAAGCCATGGTTCAGGAATCTGCCACTGGTAGAGGGGAGTGGGGTCTGTGTTCTCATTCATGCTCCACCATGCTCTTTCACTTCTCACTCACAAATGTTTTCCTAAGTGGAAGTGGGACAAGGAATGAGAAGGGATGAGAGGAGTAAAGCTCTTTTCACATAGATGATATTGTTTATAATTCTCTCTGCAGCCCTCTGTCTGTAAGCCTCCAAATGCTAGCTCTTTGGGGGTCCTCTGCCCACACTATGATGCTCTTTGGCTAACCCCTTCCATTTTTAAAGTAGTTCCTGTTTCCCTGGCATGGCACCCCAGCTTCTTTCTGTAATTTCTTCATCTAGATTGGAAGCCCCCTTGGCTGGGGTCCCTTCAAGATCTTTTATGTGTAGTTGCTTGCCATAGCCTCCCTTTGCTCATGGGAACCCTCCCCCCCCCCCGACACACACACACACACACACACACACACACACACACACACACACACAATGAAAGTGAAGACTACAGACTACTGCCCCCTGCAGCCTATCCTCTATGTGCTATGTAGGTTGATACAGAATGCCCCTGCCTTCAGAATCTTCCAGTTGGGAAGCAGACATTGTTTTTCCACATGGAACCACCCTCACCTGGCATGGGTTAGGAAGACAACCTCACTCCTTCCCCATGGAGGGGCAGTAAAGTCGAGTGCTAGTCACCAACCACCCTCACCTAGCTGCACACTTGCAGGGTGCATTGGTACTGGGCTCCCCACTTAACCTTACCTCTGTGACTAAGCACCAGCCACATCCAGCTGAGCTTGAGCTCTGGGCCTCTGACTGCTTGGCCCTGGGAGGTTCCGTAGTAGTGGGTTTACTTGGTCAAATGATTTTAACATATGCACAAGTAAGATATTAAAAATGTTTTTATTAAAGGGAACCTCAAATTATTTATGGTTAGGCCCCACAAAACCTGCTTACCCCATCTTCTGAGGGAAACTACTCAGACTCAAAGTGAATTGACCTCTGATAATTCAAGGCAGACCAAGGATAAGAGATTAAAATAGGATGAGTGCCCCCCCCCCCCCCAAATTGTCTATCTATCCTATCTAATAATAGACAAACATGGTAATTAACCATACCTCTGACATGCTTCCCCATTGGCTAATCAGGGCGATATGCAAATTAACTGCCAACCAAGATGGCGGCTGGCAGCCAGGCAGCTGAGGCGAACAGGAGGCTTGCTTGCTCCAGTGATGGAGGAAGCTAAGGTTCCCCGCCTGCCGCCGCCCAGCTCTGAGCTGCACTCTAAGCAACTATGTTGCAATTATAGAACCTAAACAAACTCCAGAAACCTGCTTTCAGCCAGCTGGGCCTCAGAGCTGGAGTTGCAACAGTGTTTCAATTATAGAAGCCAAACAAACCCAGATACCTGCTTTCAGCAGCCACGGTCTCAGAGCTGGAGTCGAGCCTCAGAGCTAAAGCCGGCTCTCAGCTCCAGTGACAGCCATAGAAGGTAAATAAATCCCAGAGTAAAAAAAAAAAGAAAAAAAGGAGAGGTTGGGAGCTTCAGTCACCCGCCAGCCTGAAAACGGCCTTCTGCCCCTCACCCAGACTGGCCAGGCACTCCAGTGGGGACCCCCACCCTGAAGAGGGTGTGACCAGCTGCAAACAGCCATCATCCCCTCATCCAGGCTGTCCTGGCACCCCAGTGGGGACCCCCACCCTAAAGCAATAAGATGGCGGCTAATTTGCATACTGAAGGCGGGCAGCAGTGGGCAAGGCTGTCGGTGGTCCTGGGACCCGGATCTGTGACCCTGCTGGGTGGGGGGCAGTGCTTGAGGCTGTCCGTGGTCCCAAGACCCAGATCTGTGACCCTGCCGGGCGGGGGGCAATGCTTGAGGCTGTCCGCAGTCCCGGGACACGGATCTGTGACCCTTCTTGGCGGGGTGGCAGCTTGCACAGGGGTGGATCGGCGGGGGCTGGGCAGGGCAGGACACCTGGCTTCCACCCAGCCCCAGTCACTCTGGGCAGGTGAGCAGCGCAGAGAGCCTCTGGACAGGGGAGGCAGGCTGGTGGAGGGCGGCCTGTACCCCCTACATGGCAGTGGTGACAGCTGTGAGCGTGCCAAGTGGAGCCTGCAGGCTGAGCTGAAGTAGCGCCTGTAGTCCAGCAGCGCCCAGGAGTGGCTGCGCAAGATCCGCCTCCTGGCCCAGAAGGTGCAGGATCGTAGGGACAGCCACTGTGGTGGGCCAGACTGACGTCCTCCTGGCCGCACCACGGGGGTTTGCGGATCTGCAAAGCCAGAGGCCTCCGGTGTGCACATCCCACCCTGACGTGCGAACATCCCCCAGCACACTGTCACCTTCCCACGCCTGCAACAGGTGCAAACCAAGGCATGCACAAGTTCCCCCCGCCTCTCCATCGCACTTCCATGAACCCAGCATGCCTAACACCCCCACAGGATGTGCACACATCCCCTCTGATGCGCTCACATCC